CCTCAGCCCATCCTTCTGTCTTGATATTTGACAACTCTCAGTGGCCCGTCTCTACCCAGCTGAGCAAATCTGCTCCCCTCCCCTAGACCAACACACCTTAAACTGTGGGCCGAGACCCCATCGAAGGTCACGGCACTGAATGTGGGGGTTGCTGAATGTGCGATGACCCAGAATTAATCCAGGATCTGAGGTGCCAGGCATCTGAGGGGTTTCCGGCAGCGCTTGCCCGAGTTGCGTATTTCTCTGGTGAAAAGTGAGTGGAGAAAGCTTAAGAAGCCCTGCAGTAGACCTTCCTGCCTCCTACCGCTCTGCTAGCCCCTTCTTCCAAGCCCCTTCCTCTCCTCCTCTAGGAAGTCCTCCTTGACTAACTTACCCCAGGCGTTCTCTGGGTCCCTAGCGCCCAGGGCTTGGACTCTGCCCAGCCATCTCTGGTTCTGTCCCCCCTGTGCTGGTCTCCCCCACAGCTCCTGGCTAAGCCTCCCCTGAAGCCATTTTCTCCTCAGGCCTCAAGAGGCGTGAAGCAGCAGAAGGGGAGGTTGTGCTGTCAGCCCTCAACTGCAGGACCCCCGGTGTGTGTGTGGGGAGGGTTCTCCGGAAGCCCAGCATGCTCACAAGGCTTGCTAAGTGGGTCTAGGGGCACAGGCTGGCACTGGTTCTTATCTACACCCGCCTCCCCTTTGTGCTTGCATGTGGGGACTTTCAATCTCCACCTCCCCACCTCCTGGGATCAGTCACACTCTCTGCCCCTTTGATAGGCAGCCTGCAAGTCAAAATGCTCCCATGCCCAGGGCTACCTCTCCCCTGGTGTGTGTGTGCTTGTGTGTGTCGAGAACAGTGCTTTGCCCCTCTGGGCCTCTGGGAATGAGACTGCTCTGCCGCCTCACAAGGGGTTGGAGAAGAGAGAGGCAAACCCAGGTGGGGGCTTGTTTTTGTCCTTGGAGCCAGGGCAGGGGTATTCCTGGGCCCAGGTTCACACAATCGCTCCCAGTGGAGAGCGCAGGAAGAGGAGGAGGGAGGGGGAGAGGGGGACACAGAGTCTGCGTCTTTCCAGAGAACCGCCAGCTCTACAGGCGAGAAAGGGGAGAGTCCTGGTGGCACAGGTGTTGGCGGTTCAAACCCTCCACCCGCTCGTTTACAGTCTGGGAAACTCTCTGGGGCCAGTCTACTCTGTCCTTCAAGGGCCACTGTGGAATGGGATTGGCCCATGGCACAGAGCAGTAGGCAAGTGAGCGTCCTTGTTTGGGGAGGGAAATCATTGTTTTCATTGGTTGATTGATTGATTCATTCTACACACTATGCTGTACCCTGTCCTTCCACGACATGGGCACAGTGTTGGCACAGAATTCAGAAGCAGCTGAGGGGTGCCCTCGCCTGGTTGGACCTAGGAGGCCAGGAGTCCTTTGTACTATGTTTAGGGAACGCCTTCTTGGGGCCAGACACTGGGCAAGGTCCCTTATGCAGCAGGACCCCGTTCCGGTCCGCACCGACTCCAGAACATTCTGGGAGAAGAGGCACCAAGGGACTGCTGGAGGCACCTGAAGCAGCACCCACGTGGAGGATGGAGTCATCGAGGCAGAGATGCCAGCTGCCTTCAGTGCCACCCTGAGCGTGGGATGGGACTGAGCTACAGGGGTGAATGTTTCTAAACAGCGGCTGAGTCATAGAATAACACCGTCTTCACGAAGCAAGGATAAAAAGTGCCCCTATGCCAATGACGGGAGGCTGTCCCCATGGTCCTCCAAGACCTTCACAGACAGCAACAGGGAGAGAAGCAAGATGGGCCGTCAGCTCCACGCAGCTGGAAACGGACAGAACCAAAAAGAAGGAGAGGGAAGAGAAGAAGGAATTCCAGGCAGAGAGGAGTCTGCTCGCAAACCCAAGTCTGCTCCACAGAGAGCTGGCCTGGCGCTTGCTCGCTCTGGGTTATCTGTCCGTCTGGTCTGGTCTGATTTCTGAGAGCACGTCCCCTCCATTTCCTCAGCACTCTCAGGAGAACAAACACCTGCGGCTCGGGCCCTCGCTGTGCACCTGAGGGAGCCAGCTCTGGGGCCCGCGGGCCTGGCTCCAGCTAGTCCCAGCCCACACCCAGCCGGTGGGTTCGGCCTCATAGTGACCCTGTAGAACAGACTCCAGTGTCCCCAGAGGGGTTCCTAGGCTGCCCATCTTTCAGGAAGCAGATTGCTGCCTCCTTCCTCTGTCGACTCACGAGCCGTGGTGGTGTAGTGGTTACGCATGAGGCTTCTTTTTTTTTTTTTTTGAGGCTTCTAATCTCAAGGTTAGCAGTTCAAATCCACCAGCTGCTCTGAGGGATTTGTACGCCTGACCCTGCCCGACAGGGTCACTGCGAGTCAGAATTTTGACTTGACCACTGTGTGCTTGGTGATGGGCTGCTTGTGGTGACCTGTGGCCTGGCTGGTGGCTCCGGACTGCTGACCCTTCTGGTGAGCAGCCAGAGCGCTTTAACTGTTGCACCACCGGGCTCCTAAAACCTGTTGACGGTGAGTCAATCCCGACTCACAGTGCCCTAACTGGTCAGGCGTCTTTAATCCTTCACATCTGCTGTAATGACAACAACAACATCGCTCCTAATCCTGTACACTGGCTGAGCTGTGGCAGTGCCAGCTGCCAGAGGCCACGGTGCCAGGGGAATAGGCGCCCATCTTTCTGCAGGTCCCCAGCACCCCGTGAGGCGCTATCCCTGTGGGGTGTTGCTCCGTTTCACAGAGGACACCGAGACTCCGGCCCCAGGTCTCCTTGCCAGTGGGTAGGTGAGCCAGGACAGGAAGCCCAGGCCTCTGTTTGAAGACACTTCAGTTCCTTTCCTTGAGCTATCTGCTCTTCGTTGGGCTTATCTGACGCCTTCATGAGCATACGAAGCCTGGCTCCCTGCAGCCGTCCGCTCTGAGCCCACGGCCCACAACCCTCTCTCTCCTGTGCCCTCTGATGGCACCCATTCCTGCGTCTGGCCCAGAAGTTGAGGCTCTAACCTGGCGCTGAGGTGCGGATGGCGGCCGGGTGGGCAGGCATAGAGTGGTCCCGGGTGTCTCAGCACAGGGCTGGGCTTGGAGAAAGGCCGGCGTCTTTATTTGTTGAGCTTCAATTTGGTTTGGCAGGATTAGGCCTCTACCCATCAGAATACACTCTGGGCTGTTGCCAACCCCCCGGGGGCAGGGGCGGGGAGGGGGATCAGCATGCTTGAACCGTGCCATTGTGTGTGGGATCTCTCACAGGTGTGCTTGATAAGACAGCCCTCCCGGTGCCAGAATACGCCAGGGAACACTGGAAGCGAAAGCTCAATGCGGCTGCCATCGCCCTGTGGGCGGATGGGGCAGGAGTTGAATTGGCCTTAAGTCCCTAAGACCCCTTTTCCCATCCTTGGAGACCCCATTGACCCGTGGCCGAGCGGTCCTGGGAGGGATGACAAACGCAGACACACAGTTCTCTCCACGGGCACCTCTCAGCACTTTATTCCTCCCTTGGGAGGGACAAGGGGGCAGTGCCCTCAAGGCAGCTAGCCAATCAGATGGGGCGGCTGGAATGTATGCCATCTATCTGGAAAGATCGCGTACACAGCACAGATGATACAGAAACAGGAAGGGAAGCAATAAGTTAAAAGCCACATAAGTTATGAAAAAAATAATATATAATATATACTTTGTATATCTTTATCCCGACTGAGAACGTGCTCCCTTGGAAACCAATAAATAGCCCCAGAGGAGAAAGCAGCAGTTAGCACCCTCTTTGGGGATGAGTCTATGTGAGCCTGAATGGGGGTAGCCCTTCAGCATCCCCCCTACAGGCCTGGAGGGCTTCGAGTCTGGGAGGGGCCAAGGCCGTGGGCCACCGTGTCCTGGAATATGGGATGAAGGAATCAAAGACTGGATTCTAAAAGAGGAGAGGGCCAGTGGGGGGGGAAGAGAGGGAAATAGGGGGGCTGTGCAGTGAGCAGTTGGGTCTGTTAGGACCCCTCCCCGCAGTGGACCACAAAGGTGAGGGCACAAAGGAGGACATAGGGGTATTCCTACTTTAACCCCCAATCTGCTTATTAGGTTCACCCCCACCCCTCTTTGGCTGAGCTCTTTTAAGGTGGTCACAGGGGTGCCTCAACCCAAGCTCTAGGGCTCAGAAGCTCCCAGACTGGCCCGGGACGTGCCTCCTTCACGGCCCCTCCAGAGGCCGAGAGCGTGGACTGTGGGTGGGGTGGGGGGAAACTAGGGGAGGGCTCAAGGGTTAGAAATGGAGCTCCACCTCCAGAGATAGGGGGTCTTCAGTGAACATAAAGGTGGGAGGCCAGGCTGTTTGGTCCCAGGGAGAGGAGGAAGGGGTCCCAAGAGGTGGGCTTCATGAGAGATGAGCCTGGGCCATCATGGCAGGGTGGGGCTAGGGGGTCTCTGGGACTGAGACCTGAGATCGCAGCAGGGCCAGGGAAACCCAGGGCTGGCAGGAAGGTGGTGGGAGGGTCTAGTTCCCCTGCCTACTCCCAGACTGCCCGCTGGCCTCTCCCCTGGGGAGCTGATCATGGCAAGAATAGCATCTGGAGAAGGTGCTGGGAGCTGGCCGGGCGGTGCGCCCACATGCAGCCGGCATCAGATATGCCCTATTGGGTAGGAACCCCAGGAGAGGGAGGGAGGCAGAGGTGTCTGGCTTGATCTCAAAAATCCAGGCTCAGGCCCCAACACCCAGGGACCCTCTTCTCTTCACTCTCTAATACTGTCAGATGTCTGGGGGGCCCAAGAGGTGCAGGAAAGCCAGGGGGAGCTAGGTAGCCGGTCTCCCCAGGAACTCCAGAGGTGGGTAGGCATACCCACATCATCCTCATCTGCCCTGTCCATGGCCAGAACAGGACTGGGTGAGTGTGGCAAGGCTTGAGATGTGAGCTTAGGGCAAGGGTTGGCAAAAGAGTCAAAGGGACCCTGTTTGGGGGAGCCTCAGAGGAAGGAGGAGACCAAACAGACCCAAATTCCAGCCCTCCATGCCCCGCGCCCCAGCCCACCCCCACTGCCAACCAGGCTAGAAAGCCTCTGACCAGAAGGGTGAAACAAGTGTTGATGTGGAGCTGATCTGGGGACATGTCCTCCCACCATTCCAGGTACCCACTCCTCCCCTTCCAATGCAGAGGCTCCGAGCTGCTTCCTGGAGTCTAGCTTCAGTCTCTCCTGCTACAGTGGGAGTGACCTGGGGCTCCTTACTCTGAGGCTTCCGACTCCTGGGAGAGGAACTGCTCTGACATTTCGGTGATCTTGATCACGTGGCCTTTGGTGGTATTCTTCCGGGAGGGGGCCTTGGAGAGGCCTGACCTGGAGGAAGCTACAGGGGAAAGAAGGGGGAGGGCACGGGAGGGGCTGGAGATTTGGGGACAGCTTAAAAGGATGCCTTAGGGTCATGATACCCCCCACCTCCCTAGCACCCTTTCCCCTCCCCACCGGGGCCTCTGGAGGCAAGGAGACTCACGGGCTCTGCATCGGGACTGCACAGCACTGACCACGGTGGCCGAGGGCAGCTCCATCCTGGGGGAGGGGCAGGTGGGATGTGAGTGGGGCCTGGGGCGTAAGCTCCCCTGAGACCCGGCAGGTGGAGATGATTCCCAGCCCTGGGACTGCCCTGCTGTGTGACACTGCCTAGCCAGCTTGTCTGCTCTGGGCCTGTCCCCAACCCCTGTTCCCCATAAATACAGACACTGACACCAATCGTCACTGGAATGGATTCTGACTCATGGAGACTCCATGCATGTCGGGGTAGAACTGCGCTCCACTGGGTTTCCAATGGCTGACAGTTTAGAGTGCCAGGCCTTTTCTCGGTGGCACCTTGGGGTGGCCCGACAATTGGGTAGCAGCTGAGGGCATTAACCTTTCACAGCCCCCCGCATCTCCAGGTAAGATGCACTGAGTGCTTATTTTGACAGGGGCTCACCTGCAGGCATCCTCCCTCCCCCTTGGCGAGGCTGGGCTGCATTATCACCAGCCCATTTCCCAGATGGACGAACTGAGTTTAATGAATTGGGCCAAGGCCCCCTGTTTGGAAGAACTTGATCCCAGGCCTGCCTGGCTCATCCTGCTGTGCTGAGGGGAGATGGCCTCTGGGTGGGTCTGGCCTCCCAGCCCTCCTGCTCCCCCGTCCCCTCACCGGCTCTCCTCGCCCTCCACCAGCTTGCTGTAGGTGGCGATCTCGATGTCCAGGGCCAGCTTGGTGTTCATGAGCTCCTGGTACTCGCGCAGCTGCCTCGCCATGTCCTGCTTGGCCCGAAGCAGGGCGGCCTCCAGCTCGGCCAGTTTGCTCTGGGCATCTCGGAAGGCCAGCTCCCCTTGATCCTTGGCCACCTTGATGTTCTCCTCCAGCTTCAGGCACTGCAGACACGCGGACAGGGAAGGGCTGGGTCGGTGGGGTGGGAGGTGGAGAGTGGGCCACAGCCCAGGGAACCCACCGGGCCCTGGTGGCTATGTATGTGTGGGAAGAGGGGGCTGAGGCACGGAGATTTGGGTGAGGTAGCAAGAGGGAGCTCAGACTTAAGGAGACAACACTTTCCTAAGGCCAGGAGGTACCACAAGTCAAACAAGGATCCGCTCCAACTTCCCGTCTGGAATTGCAGTGGGATGACCTGGTTGGAGGCTGGAAAGAAAGCCCGCCCCCTCGCCTCTCTGGATAGCTGATGTGTGTGTGTGTGTGTGTGTGTGTGTGTGTGTGTGTATGGGGGGCTGACTCTCAGTAGGTCACACTGTGTGAGTGTGAGGTGTGGGGGGCGGGCAGGGGGGACACTCACATGGCTCTTGACGGAGAGGATCTGGGAGCGCAGCTTCTGGATGCGCACGTTGAGGTCTGCGATCTCACTGCGGCTGCTCTGCAGGCTATTCCCAAACTCGGCTGAGCACGCCACGCGCTCCTCCAGCTGGGGGAGGCGAGTGTGGAAGGAGGGGGCTGCCACCGGGGTCCTCCTAAGCCCCCCTGTTCGCTGTTCTCTTCCCTTTCACCGCCCCCTCCCCATGTCTATTCCTGTGGCTCGCCTCCCTCTCTCCTCTCCTGATGGGCCCCTGGCAGACGCTGGCTCCCCGCCCTCCCCTTACCGTCTCTGCCTCCCGTGTCCGTGTCCGGGTAGATGCAGGACACGGTGCTGCCCAGGTCTCCTCGCCCCTCCCACTGCCCCGTCCCGGCGTCGCGCGCAAGTACCCTGTTCCGGGAATACGCCTCCGCCTCCTCCAGGCTGCGCGCCACGATGGCGTCGTACTGGGCCTTCACCTCCTCCACGATGCCGCTCAGGTCGATGTGGCAGCGGCTGTCCACGCCCACCGTCACTGACACGTCCTTCACTTGGGCTACCAGGTCCTTCAGTTCCTGCCCCAAACAGATGCACACGGCTAAGAGCTGGGGGAGGGCAGGAGGCCCCTCCTCCACCTCTCAGTCCATGCCCCAGGGCAGTGGACAGGGGAAAGATGATGGACTGGTGGGAGCAGACCACCACGGCTCACCCCGATGTCCCCACTCTCGGGGTTCCAGTGACCCACTCTACCATCATATACCACCTCCACTGTCTGCACTGTCACTTGCTTCTGGGGTGATGCACCCCCCCCTTGGCTGTTGGGACAAGGCCCAGAGGCTGGGTGCATCAGGTCAGGTCTCTGGCACTGAGCTCCACCTCTGTGTCCTCTATCTGCGAGGGCTAGGCAGAGACATTTCCCTCTGCACATGGGTAGGCCCAGAGGCAGTTTGTCCAAGGCTCACAGATGTTAGAGCAGAAGCCCCTGAATGATGAGGGGCCAGGATGTGGCTTGAGGCTAACTACATGCACCCCTTGCCCTAAGGCTGCTCAGGGTTTGGCCCTGTCCGATGTGCTCAGCCTGCTGGGTCACCGAGAGTCACCTCTTGCAGGCCACAGCCATAGGATTGGCCACAAAAAATGTTGATCTTTTCCTCCCCACCCTTGCCTTCCCTTCTCTCGGTCTCATCCCTGCTTAGAAGATGCCTGCCCGAAGATGCTGAAGCCCAGCATCTCCCGAAGGCTCCCTCCACACCAGGCCGTGTGCTAAGAGCTTCCCACAAGCCCTCACACTGAGTCCTGGCGAGGCCGGTACTCTTGTCAGCCCCAAGTCACAGGGGGAAACTGAGGCACCAAGCGGCGATGGGACCGCCTGAGAGCGCAGAGCCAGACTGCAGGCTCATGCCCTTTCCCAGGGCTGGTCAGTCTCAAGGGTAGAAACAAGAGCAGAAGCCGGCCGTTTTAGGTCCCGGCCCTGTCTGCAGGGTGTGCAGGGTGACAGGTGGGCTCAGGGGCCTTTGTATGTGTGCCCCCGAAGCCCTGGACTGCTTCCCTGGAGGTACGGGAGAGCCCCAGCTCTGGACAGGGCTTCCTTCGAGAGGGAGGCGTGGAGGGAATACACAGTGTAGGTTCTACCAGTACTGTGCATGCTGAGTGAGACATGGCCGGGCTTGGCAGGGAGCCTCTGGGAGATAATGGGGAGCAGGCCCAGAGGCAGGCAGGGAGGGCTCAGGGCCCTGTCTGTAGGAAGAGAGTCTTGCCCAGGGGAGGGAGGGCCTGGTGCCTGGGCTGATACCAGTCCTAGGAGGCCTTTATGTCAGCCCTGAGACTTGAGTTCTTGCGCCCCTTTCTCTGATGGCCTCATCACTTCCCCCACTTGCTTATTTGAGTCAGACACTGCTGTTGGCCTGTGTCCAAATGCACACAAGTTGTCACCAAGTAGATGCTGACTCATGGCGACCCCCTGACCCAGGGGGTTGGTCCTCAAGACTGACTCTTTGGGAACTGATTACCGGATGGAGCTTCCTGCTGTAGCTCAGAAGAAGGGGTGTGTCTTTAAAATGCTAATCTTTCAGTAAATAGTCAAGCACTGAACCTTTTGCACTGCCATGGGGCTCTGGGGGTCCTGCTCAGACCCAGGAGCCAGCTTTGGGCTCATGACTAAATTCTGATCCCTGCCTTTGACAGAGGCTGTGGTGAGTCCTGATTTCGGTTCACCTGGAGGCTCTGGAGCCGTAGACTAAGGAGCTGCAGGTGGCCAGCCAGCGCCCACTGGGCCATCTTGGGGAACGGCGGAGTAAGGCCCACCCTGCTCCCAGCATCTCCCAGGGGACAAGGATGAGCCTCTCTATTGAAAGACGGCAGGCAGTGAGAGGCAGGTCCTTTGTCAGCCTCTGGGGGCGCCCTGCACTTTGGCAAGAGCCTGGGCTCAGAGTCTGCAGAGAAATAATCATGGGGTATTTCCTGTGAGAAGTGGTCTTCACATGAACAACCCCCCCCAACCCCCGTGATGATCGCTGTGCAGATAAAGGCTGAGGGCCCAGCCATGCCAGAGCAGAGCAGTCAGTGTTCTCTGCAGACTCAAACCCATTAGCCAGGCACTGGTCACCACCCGAGTCTCACCTGCCCTGACCAGGACTTGGCTGTGGGCAGCGCCAGAGATGCAGCTTCAGGGACAGTGGGTGTGGGAAATTTTAGAGAAAGCCTGCGGCAGCACTTTGGATCCCCTGGACCTGGTGCAGCATTGCCTACTGCCTGGTCAGTACGCTGCACATTGGGGTTTAGGCGGCAGTGGGGGCATATGCATTGCTATGACACTAAGCAAGATTCGGCAGTGCTTCCAGACAAAGATGAGGAAGAAAAGCCGGGCCATCTGTGTCTAAGAATTAGCCAGAGCCTGGGAAACACCCCCTGGATCCCAGGCGTCTATCTAGTTGTGCACTGGGTTCTGCCTTGAGCTGGGGGCTGATTGATGGCAGTTCAGTGACAAACCGCCCAGGACCAGGATGGGGTATTTCCAGGACACGCTGCAGAGTAGGGAGAGGGCCTCCCCACCGGGGCCAGCAGGATTGGCCAAGCACAGCTGGTGCCATCCTCTCTGGAGAGAGGCCGGGGAGCAGGCGCTTGGCATACAGCCCCAGGAAGTGGAGGTTCAGAGCAGGCCCAGGCTCGCTCGGACACGCAGGCCCCTCCAGGCTGCGGAGGCTCAATGCTTACTTGTGTGGTACGGAGGTGTCCCCAAGAGACGGGGCCCTGGGACGGGATGTGTGTCTCCTTATCTCAGCAAGGATTAGACTGAGGGGTGGTGAAGAGCTTCCTTCAGAGTCTGAGGGTGATGCTGTGTGTGTGTGTGTGGTCACCTTACCTGAGGTCCTGGGGCCAGGGCACAAGTGACAGTGCCGGTCAGTACACTGTGGGGTTTCATGGCCCAGGCCTCTGACTATGAGCACTTCCTATTAGCCAGGGAACCCTAGGCACGTTTTCAAACCTCTCAGCCTGAGTTTTCTCATGAGGAAAGTGAGTGGAAATATAGGATGGAGGGTGCAGTATGGCATGGATGAAA